CTGCTAGTGCTCTAAAAAAAAAATTATGTTTTGAAAAAGCCCTTTCGTACAATGCCGCATGCGCACAGGTAGTCAAGGAGGTACCGGCTCACGTTCAAACCCAGCCAGTCATAGAGGATCTTGATACGGTTTTTAAAATGTTCTCCCCAAAACCAATTTCTGAAACCTCTCCAGGCTTGAGAAATCTCATTAATAGCTAAAAAGGAAGATTAAAAACGGATCCAGCCCCCATGTGAGAGGCTGATGTCATCTGTCTCCACAAAGAAAAGGCCACACTTTCCTTTGTGGGACTCCAGGGTGACATCACCTCCTGATCACAGGCCACTCAGCCCTTCCCCTGCTGGCTCGCAGCTGAAGGGTTCGCTCCATTTGCAAATGTCAGTCTTCCGCTCACAAAGCCCCTTGACCTTGTTTGCATGCTGGATTCCGTCACCAAGGGAAAGAAGGCCTCTGGGAGCAGGACCAGGGGAGCGGACGGGTGCGTGCAGCTGGCTGGGAGGCCGCTATTCACACAGCTTGCGGAAAGTTCTATATGCCCTTCAGCAACCCAGATGGAGGCCCCAAGGCCGAATTCAGCCCCTGGACAATGCTGTCAATGCTGAATACTGTGAACCGATTAGCCAGGCAGAGCAACTGTGGCCATTTCTTTATTTCCAGGGTGGGACCCTCTTTGAGGGTGGGCACAAAGGCCCTGCAGTGTGGCTCCCCTCACGTCTGTCTTGCAGGGCCACCTTCAAAATGGGCCTACCGATAAAGCCCATTTGTAGAGCCATTTTCTCAAAGCAAATAGAAGATTTGTGCGATCCACAAAGAAGCACATTTTGTAAAAGGGTTTATTTATTAACTGGGGAAATGAATGAGGTATGTAAGGAGTCTTCCTCGGAAGCAGTGCTCTGGGAAGCGATGTCACTGCAGGTTTTGAACTCTCTGTGCAGAGATTTTTTGAGCTTTTATTGCAGTTTGGAAAAGAGTGGGAGGGGAACGGGCCCGAAGGTGATTTGACTCTGAGGAAAGGGCTAGGAGTTTGGAGCCTCCTGCTCTGGCCAGGGCAGGGACAGCAGCCCCAGGGCCAATGTCAGGCGGGGTGTCCTGAACAGCCCCTCAGTCCCAACTCTCAAGAGACCCCTAGAGGGGCTGTGCAGAGATGATCTTTTTGAATTTTTTTTTACATACACTCATACACGCAAATGCATCTAAAAATTTTACTATTACCCTTGAACTTTGAGAGTAATTTTTAAATTTATTTTGTATTTTGAGTCCCACAATTGGCCATGTTGCTTCAGTCCTGCAAGATCCTACTCAAAACTCATTTCTCTGAACTAAGAAAGGCTGACGTGAAGAGAGAGGGTGTGGCCTGCCGGGTGTGTGCGTGTGTGTGCGTGTGTGTGTGTGTGTGTGTGTGTGTGTGTAATATGCATATTTCCAGCCCCTCTGGACTTTCCAGGTCCTTCCCATCACAGGATCTTTCTGCCACCTGGAATCCGTTTCCTTCTCCGGTTTGCCTAGTTAACTGCTGCTTATTTTTCAGATTTTAGTTCAAAGGTCTCATTCGCAGGGAAGACTTCCTTGACCTTTGGCCTGGCCCAGGTCAGATGCCCTGGGTGTGCTTACTTGGTACTTCCCACAGTTTCAATTTTCTATTTATTTGCATATTTATTTGTTGATGCCTCATCTCTCACCCGGCCTGCGAGCTCTGTGAAAGCAGCAGCCATATCCGCGGCTGTGTCACTTTGTGTCCCCAGCCCCTGCACAGTACCTGGCACAAGAGATCCTTAATATCTGCAGAATGAACAAACAGGTGAATGGCAAATCAGGATTTATGTCTCGTGTTTCCCTTCAATGGATAAGAAATGGGGGGCTGCTCCCACAGGGGAGGGTGCTGCGTTCCCAGATCCTGTCCTCTCTCTTGGCCCCTTTCTCAGGCTATCTCAACTAAAGACACAGTTCAGAGGCAGAGTACAAACTCTGCAAACTCACGGCAAGGCATAACTATAGAATATGACAGTTAATTTTGTGCAAATTTAAATGACTACCAATCCCCTTCTAGAAGGTTCATCCTGAGTATAATTTATACATAGTGGGCGGCACAAAGTTATTATTTTTTTTTTTCCAGTTCTGGTCTCAGCTGGCAAAACTTTGTTACACAACTCTGGCTCCAAGCTTAGCAAGTTTTTAGCAACCGGGAGAAAGTTTTGAAACAGTAAACAGCAAAAGAGAATAGACAGAGGGTGTCTTTGACTCTCCTAGAAGAAGACATTTTCCAAATAGAACTGGTAGAAAAAAGAAATTTCCCAACTACAGCTCAGAGCTTTCACCAGAAGATTCAGCTTGTTGGCTAGAAGAACCCAGTGATAGTATAATCCAGGTATAGCCCACAA